TTCTTTGTGACCCACCAAGTTTCTGATCCGTATAGAAGAACTGACTGACTTGACTTTTGTATTGAAAATCCGAATTTTGTTGTTGATGGTGAGTGACGAAGATTTCCAGATTGGTTTCAGGTTGATGAATGTGTTTCTCGCCTTCCCGATTCTCGATTTGACATCCTCGTCGGTTCCTCCTGTGGTTCAGACAATGCTCCCTAGATAAGTGAAAGAAGTAACCTCTTTCAAGTCCTTCCCGTTGATGGTGATTGGCGCTGGATGTTGCTGTTGTTGTTGTTGTTGGTTGATTATTTTCATAACCTCCGTCTTGTCTATGTTCACCTGGAGTCCTGTCTTTGCTGCTTCTTCGGCCAGTTTGTCGGTTTTCGCTTGTAAGTCTTCGATTTTGTGTGACATCAAACATAAGTCATCCGCGAAATCCAGGTCTTCTAGGTTCTTCACGTCGGTCCAGGATATCCCTGTCTTCTCGTTTCCCACTGTCTGACGCATAATCCAGTCCAGTCCACCACAATTAGGAATATCATTGGTGATAATAAGCACCCTTGTCTGACTCCTGTGTTTACTCCAAACGCCTCGCTGAGTTTTCCGTTGTGGATCACTTGACATGTGTCGTTGTCGTACAGCTGTTGAATGAGGTTGATGAATATTTGGGGTACGCCATAGTACTCAAGTAGTCTCCAAATTACTTCGCGGTCAACGCTGTCGAAGGCCTTCTCAAAGTCTATAAAGTTGAGGTGGAGGTTTGATTGCCATTCCATGCTTTGTTCGATGATAATGCATAGAGTTGCAATTTGGTCAGAACATGATTTGCCTTTCCTGAATCCAGCTTGTTCTGGTCGGAGTTCTGTATCCAGTGCGTCCTTTATTCTCTCCAGGATGATGCGACTCAGGATTTTACTTGGCGTCGACAGGAGCATGATTCCTCGCCAGTTCTTGCAGAGTCCTAAGTCGCCCTTCTTTGGTAGTTTCACGAGGTAACCTTTCCTCCAGTCAGTAGGCACCTTTCCCTCTTTCCAGATCTTTTGCAATAATGGAGTCAACATTTCTGCTGCCGTTTCTGGGTCCGCTTTCAGTGCTTCCGGGGGTATTCCATCTGGTCCAGCTGCTTTTCCAGCTTTCAGAAGCTTGACTGCATTCAAGACTTCAGCTTTCGTTGGAGGATTGATGTTAACTTGCAGTTGTGTACGTGCTGTTGTTGGTATTTCTGGAGGGGTTGTAGGTGGTGGTCGGTTCAAGAGTCCTTTGAAGTGGTCCGCCCATTGTTTAATCTGTCTTTCTTCTTTGGTAATTGGGTTCCCTTGGCTGTCTTTTATAGGTTTCACTTGTGTTGATCTCTTCCCGGATAGAGACTTGGTTATCTGATATAGTGTCCTTAGGTCCCTTTTACCTGCTGCCTTCTCAGCTTCAGTAGCCAGGTTGTCGTAGAATTGTCTTTTGTCCTTCCTGGCACTCTTCTTCACTTCTTTGTCCAGTGCTGTTTAAGTTGAGCTCAGAGTCTCCTTCTCTTGTCCATCTTTGCATTGAATCATTTTCTCTTTCACCATTCTCCTCTCCTCTATTAGCTTCCAAGTGTCCGTTGAGAGCCATTCCTTGTCTTGTTTCTTCTTTCTTCCTAAAACCGTTGAGCACGTTTCGTTGAAAATTACCTTCAGAGAGTTCCAATGGTCTTCTACGGATGATTCCTGAGTGGTGCCACGTAGTGTTTCCTGCTTTGCTCTGACAGTTGCAGTGAAAATGTCCTGTGTGATTGTGTCCTTCAGTTTTTGCGTGTTGAACTTGCATTGTGGCCTATCTCCAGCTATCCTCGAGGCTTTCAGCTTCACCTTGAAAGTCCCTTGTACTAGATAGTGGTCTGAACCCACATCTGCTCCTCTCCTCGATCTTGTGTCCAGTAGGCTCCGTCTCCACTTCCTTGAGATTGAAATGAAGTCTATCTGGTTTTTGGTGTGTCCATCTGGTGAAATCCATGTCGCCTTGTGTATATCCCTGTGTTTGAACACACTGCCACCAATCACCAAATCATTGAAGGTGCAGAAGTTTGAGAAGAGTTCACCATTTTCGTTCATTTCACCGAGGGCCTCACGACCCATGGTGAGTTCTCTTCCTGTATTGTCTCCTCCCAGTTTCGCATTCATATCACCCATCAGGATTTTGATATCGCTCTTTGGGACGTTGTCCATTACTGTTTGTAGTTGACTGTAGAAATCCTCCTTCTTCTCATGTTCTGAGACGTTTGTAGGCGCGTAGCATTGAATGATTGTAACCTTTTTTCCTTTTGATTTGAACCTGACTGTCATTATCCTGGAGGAGATTGGTTCCCACTGCATGAGAGCTTTAGCTGCTGTTGGTGACATCATGATGGCTACTCCCTCGGTGTGCTCGTGATTGTCCTCTGGGTGACCGGAGTAGATTATTGTCTCTCCAGTTGGTAGTTGGCACCTTCCGCACCCATTCCATCTGCTCTCGCAGATTCCCAACACTTCTATTTTATATCTCCTCATTTCTGCGGCTACCTGAGCAGCCTTCCCAGCTTCGTACATTGTACGAATATTCCACGTCCCCATCCTTATTTTTGCTTTCATCGAAAGAAGGCACATCGGCTGACTGGCTTCCCGAAGGCTTTCACCAGCCCGCGTCATTTCACTTCCCCGATTCCAGCGAAAAATAAGGTTATTGTTTATAATTTTAGAATTTTGAATATATTTGAGCGTTGAAGTTTCTGTAGCAATTTGGTTAAGTTTTGGGGGTGGAGTTGCTAGCACCACGCCCCAACCCTCCCTCTTTATCCGGGCTTGGGACCGGCTAGAATACTAGTGACCTAGTAATCTAGGCGAGGTTATCCATTATTATTACTCCCTTTAATTCCTAAAGGAACATAAGGCTTCAGCCGTGCGTCTCCATTGCTTTCGGTTCTCTGTCAGAGTTTTCACCTGGCTCCAAGTCTGCCACCCACACACTTTCATCTCCTCTTCACATGACCTCCTCCAAGTCACCCTTGCACTGACGACCAACTCGCCGCTTCCCTTTCAGGTTCGCTCCCAGAGATCCCTCCCTGTTGCTGATCTTTTCTGGCCGACCATCTGATCTTGAGTATTGAGCGAAGAGAACTGTTAATGAAGGTCTGTAGTTTGTTTGAGATGACGCGCTGGCCAAGTCTCTGATCCGTATGTTGAGTAGCACTGACTTCACATTGGAGTTGAAAATCCGGATCTTGTTTTTCATGTTGAACAGTGCTGTTGACCTCCACACAGACTTGAGAGTAGTGAAAGCTTGTCTTGCTTTTCCGATTCTTGCTTTGATATCCTCGTCAGTTCCGTCCGCCTGTAGTTAAAACGATGCTTCCCAGGTAGGTTAAGGAGGTAGTTTCTTTCAGGTTCCTCCCATTTATGCTGGCTGATGGTTGTCTGTTGTTGTTGATGATGCTGTTGATGGTGATAGCAAATCTGAAAAGAAGGGGAGATGAAGCTGGCCACTCCACGCCTTGAAAAAGAGAACACTACACTACATCACTGCTACTGAAACTTCAAGTCTTGAAGCCTTATGTTCCACTCTGAACGCAGACGACTGGGAAACCTTTCCTGAAGGATTAGTAGCTGATCAAGTGGAATTTGTAATTCATTTGATGAAGTCCAATTTAATGTGCTTTTATCTCCAGGAAATGATTTGGCTAACAGATGCATGAGATGTTAACACTTCATATGAATAAAATATTTTGCTAGAAATAGGTAAAAAGAAATTAAACGTAGATGAAATGTCAAAGTGCATTCATATTACAGTCGCCTATCCTGAAGTTATTCAATAGCATATTCAAACAAAACTGTCAACAAATCCAACCGCTGCTTTCATCAAAAATACCTAGTAATGAACTCCAGAACACGCTTTGAATTCTGTTTAGGACTCATTAACTGGATATTTACCTGCATTCGCAGCGAACGGTGTTTTCACTGAGAGCTGGACGCCACCATCCACCATTTTAAACCCCAAAGCATTACGCATTAAGCTGCTAAGCCACAGGAGCTAACTCATGTGTAATGGCCGTCAGCTGTTGTTCTTTCAAGTTATTCATGTAGTTGATTCATTGTATCGGAGAGAAGTGCTTTGATGTTTGAAACAATGAGTGCTGGGTTCGAATTTCAGTGCAAATACCACCTCTCACATCCAGCTGACGGGTTTCAGGTAGGATGAGATGCGTGTCTTGGACTCCACTGTCAGCCATCATTAACTAGATAGAACTATGTTAATCTGAAGGCAATATCAGAGCTGCCGTAGCAGCAGCTGACATGCCAACACAGACCGAGCATTTCTATCTAGTAAAATCAACCAGCGGGAATTACAAAACAGCTTAAATAAACAATAAACTTGATTTCTTCTATCTATCGATTTACGAAAATTCTAACTGATATAACTGTATTTTTCATTATGGATAAAATTTTATTTTGAGAAAGTGACACAGCGTTGTTATACAGTAATATTTACTGATGTGACCACGTTCCGAGCACAATTTATTACCACTCATAATCATATCAAGGTACTACTCATACAACTTCCTTGCTTCATTTATATACCTGAGTAAAAAAAAACTGATTAGACATTTGAACAAAATAAATAATTTGTTAGAATGTTATAATATGAACTGAAATACATTTTAACATTACTTATCATCCCCCTCTGATTTGACTGGTGCTAATAATATCTTCCATATCTGTAGTATTTCCGTTGAGTCACTTCTATTGCATAATGGAATTATACTCTACCACAGTGCCCAAGTTTTCTCCTTACATCAATTGTAACTTTATTTTTATTTCAACCTTTTTCCACTGTAATGCTCAATTTTTTTTTAACTATTTTCTACTTTGCGTGACTTCATCGTGTGTTTTTTGTTTTACCTTTTTTGTTTTGTTACAGCCTTCTATCAATGGGTTCCATTTTGCTTATCAATCCAGGGAATATTGTTCTTTCTACCTCATTTCGCTTGGCAGACATTCGCCACACATCTAATGGGTGGAAATCTAGAAGCGATTTTAGACATGGCGTATAAGGCCAATGCAGCTGATGACAATGCCAAACGTCAAAAATTTGTTGAATCAGCTGCCTACCACCTGTTTCGATTAGGACGTCAGCATTTCGATTATCGATCAAGTCGATGGGCACAACTTCAACACAAAATGTCACATATGTCTGGTGGATCATTACTGATTGCTGGAAAACGCATGGGAAATTGTATATCACTGGCATACCTCTTTGTAAAACTATTGTATTTAACTAATCTATTCGGCCAGTTGTACATAATACGTACATTTTTAGGTTATCATGGAAATTTATTTTCATTTGGTCAACGATTAATTGGAACACTGACATCAAGACATGAATGGACTGAAAGTGAATTCTTTCCACGTCAAACCTATTGTCCAGTGCATGTTCGTCATCTTGGTTCTAAGAATAATGTATTCACTGCAATCTGTGCACTGCCTGTAAATATGTTCAATGAAAAAATTTACATATTTTTATGGTTATGGATTGCTGTTGTCAGCATTATAACCAGCATTAGTTTACTTGTATGGTTAATACGTTTATCACTACAAAATCGTCAAAATGCCTACATTCGTAATTATCTAATTATATCAATACACTCACAGATATTAGATGCATATCAAAATCATAGTTTAACCTGTGATGGTTGTAACATTGACATTGATGATCCGCGTATTGAACACTTCATCACAGAATTTGTTAAAAATGATGGTTTCTTTTTATTACGCATGATACGAAACAATGCTGGTGATGTAGTGACAGCGGAAATTTTAAACCAGTGGTGGCATATGTTTATTAATTATCAAAACGCCCGATCGGAACGAGAGAATCGACTGGAATTATTAAGGAGTGGCAAAGATATAACTGAGAAACATTATGGTTTTTCTGAATTACAAGATAATAATTCCATGATCGCTCCTACCGCACCAATGGCAAGCAATCCTAATAAATCCAATGTCAATTTTGTCTAAACTGATGTATTCATCCAGTTGACAGTGATTTGTATAAAGTTGGAATGTGTTTCCTAAACTCTGTTTGTAATACGCATTATGTAGTCGATGGTGTTTCCTTTCTTTTTTATAGAAGTAATGATCACCTTGAAGATAAACAAATTCTCTTGAATATTCTCTTAAAGACAGATCCCAGTCTCTCTCTCGCTCCCACTCTCTGCCTTCTCTGTCTAAATTTATTATATAATGTAAACTTAGGAATCAAAAGTGACGAGATACTTCTTTTTTTTAATTGATTATGTAATCTTTTTTCACATAGAGACCTACCTTTCCACCTATGATTTGACATAAAACAGATTTTTTATAAGAAATGACTTCTAAGCTTGTAATTGTAGAGTCACTGTTGGCTTCTGATGACTACAGTGTTATCAAAATCACACAGACAAATTAGATGGTTGCAGGCAGTGGTAAGGGAACACCCTGGACTGAGGTTTCGGGCTGGTCGGCACTCGTCAGCAATGTGTGTCTGCAATCTCGTAGGGACTCATATTTCCTCTGAGATTCGAATCTGCGTCAACCAGGGCTATAGTCATAGAAGTTCAGGAGCAACCTCATATTAGGACTATAATGGATAGACTGATTGGCCACTTGAGAGTTACCTCAGACTTTCCGTAGACTAAATTCTGTTGGTCTGTTAAATGAGAATGTATATATATACATATTATTTTTTCTAAATATTTTGGTTATAGCTTGAAACCATACAGTATTTTTGATGCATGTATGGAATTTTCAGCATGTGATATCGGTAGCCCAAATTCGGCAGGCCGACAATTGATATCAGGTGTGCGTTGGAAGCGGATCAAACCCCGGACCATGTGCATGGTCGGCAAGTGTGCTAACCGCTGCGCCACCGATGCATATATATATGCACTATCAAAGATAAAAATGTGATGAAAAAATGTTTAGGCTGAAATCATTCAAACTATTCACGAATTTTATGTACGGATAAGTTTTCTAAGTCGAATAAAGTGCCATAGAAAATCTGTGGGCTGAGATATCAGTTTGTGAATTCTTAAACTTAGTTAAATATCACAGAATAAATATGTGTGTCTTTAGAAAACTTGAACTATTGAAAATCACTCTCATTATCTTGTGCAGTTTTTGCAGATGTAATAGAATGATTCGAGGCCCTATACTCCACTTGAAACACAAAGAGTGCGTGATAATAATAATAAACGCCCAAGGCTGATTAATATGGTGTCCCGTATTTATTCAAGTAAACTAAGGTTGCAGATACTCCTTGCTGATGAGTGCCAACTAGCACGAAACCTAGGTCCAAGGCTTCCTGCCGATTGCCTCCAACCATCTAATACACCTCCACTTTGCTCTATTTGCTGCTGTCCTCTTCAGTTGGGTCCAAAACTGCTCATAATCTCTCATCTCCTTCTTGTACGATCTCTTCCATGTCACACTCGGGCACACGCCAACTCGTCGATTCCGTTTCGGACTCCGGTCGGTTTTCGACATAGAACTTTGCACATATGTGCGGCAGTTCAAGTCGCCACACTCCATGTAGCACACAAAGCAAGAGAAGAAAATAGAAGAAATGGATAATATAGACAGTAAGCAGAGGTGTGAGACAAAGGAATAGTAATAACGGAGAACGAAACAGTTTAATTGGAAATCATAAGTCACAAGGAGTCGATGCATATGCGCCACTGAGAACGATTTTGAGCCATGTCACCAATTGTTTCCAGCCATAGGTTTTTACCGTCCCGAGGACCCCAACCAGGAAGTCTACACCTTCCTACGTGGCCTAGACTAACTGTTGTGGATTTCATTGACTGGTGCCATGTTTTCGTTTGACCGCCGCTAGCTGTTTTCCAGCCTGGCCCTATATCAGCTAACATTGCCCGTCGAGGAAGGCGATGACTAGGCATACGTAATGCATGTCCTAAACATCTCAGTCGATGTAATTTCACAGTTTCGTAGATTGATTTCCCCGCCTTACCTAGCACTCGACGCCTAATCAGAATATTGCTCACCTTATTCGCACTCCAAGCGAGCTATGGCCTGCATGGCGGCCGATGTCATTCAACGGTCTCCTCAGAGTGTACCCACTCCATCTCCATTTTCTTCTGCATAATTTTTAAGTGTTAGGTTCTTGGTTAGTTTGTTCCGATATTTTCTTGTTACCAACTATTTCTCGCTATCTGCTCTTCAATATGACAGTTATTGATAAAAGTGTGCAACCTGTTGGAAATCCTTTTCGTGACATGCGAGCTAACTGTCTGACCCGTATAGAAGAAGTGACTTCACAATTCTATCGAAAATCCGAGTCTTGTTGTTTGTGATGCTGACGTGGAGTGCAGAAGATTTACAAACTGATTTCACAGTGATGAGGGTGTGTCTTGCATTCCCGACCAGAAATGACTCACTTCACCCAGAATCAAAGTAAAGCGACACAATGTGATCTTCCCAAAATTTGGGCTACCGATATCCATGCTGAAAATGCCATACTTGTACCGAAGATACGGTGTGGCATAAAGCTGTAATCAAAATATAAAATATAAAAATATATAACTTTGAAAGAAATTTCCATTTATTAAAAATTTGTGAATATCTACAGACTCTTGAGGTAAGTTTTGTCATACTTCAAGCTTTTTAGAGCTCTAAAAAGATTAATAATCCTAGCAGAACGTGTGGTATGTCCTATTAGGCCAATGGTTGACTTAAGGAACACTCCGATATACGAGTTATTCAAATGCTTGGCACCAATACTATGCCGAAGTAGAGATAGGTCAAACTCCAGGCTAACTAATTCCCATGTAATGAAACAGAAGACTGAGGAAATTCAGTTGGAAAATGATGAAAAAAGTGTTTAGTTCTGACACAGCCAGTTTGTATGCTAATAGTTTTATTAATGCAGCTCTGGAGGCAGTTATGAATGAACTTAACATTGATCTTGAACTCAAAAATAGGGCTAAGCTCTCGGTTGATGAAATCACATTAGCTGTTCAGTTATGTCTAACCTCCACTGTATTCAAATTTCAAGATAAACTAAGAAAAAATCGGAAAGGGTCACAGTGGAACCACCAATATCCCCAATAGTAGCGGACACATTTATGGATAGTTGAGAACATAAAGTTTCTAGAGCGTTAAATCCTGCTGCTAGGTTATGGTGGAGAGATTTGGATGACACATCCACTGTGTTGAAATCTGAATATATCCCTCAGTTTCTCACAAATATAAACGTAACAAAAGATGGAATAAAATTCAATTGTGAGTCAGAAAATGAACAAGGTGAGTTGGCCATGCTAGACTGTAGAATAAAACGAAAACAAGATGGTCGTAGGTTATTTAGTAGCATTGATAGGAAACTGATACACACACACACACACTCTAATAAATACCTAGACTTTAATTCATCCCACCCAGAATCGGTAAAGATAAGTTTAGTTAAATGTCCATATGATCAGAAGATTCAAATAACGAAATCAAACAAGTGAAGAAAGCATTACTGGAGATTTATTCAGTAATGAATGAAGAACCATAGAAAAAAATGTTATCAGTAATGTGGAAAATGAATATGTAAGTGATAAGGAATTTAAAATACTAATAGTACTACCGTATAAAGAAGGAACGCCAGAGGCCATACGTAGGGTTCTCAACGAGGCTGGAATTAGAGTGGCATATAAACCAACCAACCAAACAACTCTCAGAGATAAACTTTTCCGGCTTAAGGCTCCAATAGATCCAATTAAGAAGAATAATATGATTTACCAAATTGCATTTAATGACTGTGCGGTCGATTACATAGGTGAAACTAGTAGATCAGAGCCAACTAGATTATTGGAAGATAAAAATTTAGCTACACCTAGAATGTTCACCCTACTGAGTGAAATAACCTAGAAAAAGGCCCAGCCATTGCACTGCACTGCATTCACTTGCATGTAATCACATAACAGAGTGGGTGGGACAGGGTGAAAGTATTAAAAAGTAATATAGTTAAGTGGAGTGAGAGAGAGAGCTTAGTCCCTGAAGCTTTGTTTATCGATTCAACACTGCACACATGGAATCGGAATGATGCAACGCCTATACAGAAGATATCAGAAGTAGCAAAAGCACATATGGAAGAGGGAAAGAAACATTATGAAGCCATTTGAATATATCGCATAGCAATTATGATCCTGAATATAATACATCCACGTTGTCACGTTCTACGATGAGCTAACGCTGTACACAGTATACAGTTTACAATTTATTTAGGATAGTAGGCTATATGCCTGTGTTAATCCTTTCGATTTGTTGCACACAGGAGGTCCAATCTCGCCTCAAATGAATCAACGGATGGCGCTGATACGACGTGTTCCGGTAGGGAGTTCCAGTGGTTTACAATTCGATGCGAAAAACGCATCTCCAGACGCAGACGATTCGACCGTGGTTTTTGAACCTTGAGGTGATGTCCTCGCAATTGGTTGGTGCTAGAAGGGAGAAATAAATTAGATGAATTAGCTCCAAAATCATTTCTTAGGATACGGTATGCTGGTATTAGGTCACCCCTAAGTCGTCCATATGACAGTGGAAATAAACCCAGTCGACTTAACCTCTCCTCATATGAGAGGGTTGAGAAACCCTTTATTAGCTTAGTTCCTACTCTTTGCACCCTTTATAATAAGTCTATTTCGTATTTGAAACACTGGCTCGCTGCCTGGATCCCATATTCCAAATGAGGTCTGATATAAGTCGGATATAATATACGAAATATATCAGCGTCACAGTTCGCAAAAGCCTTGCGTATGGCCCATAATATTCGAAAACCCTTAGTGGCTGCAGCTCTACAGTTTGTTGCTGTTTTCAAGTCATGCTGCACAACCACTCCCAAGTCCTTGTACTCAGTGACCACTGGGAGAGTAATGCCATTCATTGAGTAATTGTGCACGTGACTACGAGATACATGCATAACTACACTCTTGCTTAAGTTAATCTCCAAGGCCCAGTGCTTACACCAATCACTCAAC